TTTATAATTTAACTGTTTATTTCTTGTATTATATATTTATCTGTATATGATTTAACAGTTCATTTCTTGTTATATATCTAATTCTTTATAAATAAATATATTAAATTATCAGCAATTTGGTTTTATCTCTCTAGAGAACCCTGTCTAACACATTGTATATATACTTCTATAAATGTCCTTTGCCTCCTAGTTCTTTCTTCTATTTCCTTCTATTTTCCTCTTGTCCCACTATTATGTTTGACTTTCTTTAGGCTTTAATTAATTCCTCTTTGTTCCTTTGCACTTGATCAAGCCCCACCAGCCATCCTATGCCCTTTTCCCCACTGATTTTAGATCACTTGTTGTTCCCTTGTCCCTGGGTTTGTTGGCTCCCCTTTCCTTTCCCCTGCCCCTCCCCCTTGACCCCCTGGAACCGTTGGTCCTGTTTTCTCCTAGGGATTGTTTATCTCACTTATCTTATCTAGATAGAAATGCAAAAACAATAACAAACAAAAAACAAAACAACCAAAAAAAGAAAAATAACAAAAAAGAAAAGCCTATAGTTCCATGTCTGTCTGTTGACCTTTATATGTGATTTCCGGTAGGGCCTCAAGAGGTGCCCTTTTCTTTTTTAAAGAGAGATTTTCCTAATTTTATTTTGTTGAGAGCATACATAGTAAAGCATCATTTCTACATGTACAATTTAGGGATACTGAGTAAATTCTGGCAGCTGCACAACTATTTTCACCTTCTTTCATGAATAAACTCATTACCCCATATTTTCTCTTTCTAATCTTTCAAGGATGTATTATGAATTTGATCCCACATAAACTAGTGTTCAAATATCATAATGCTCGGACAAGCAAGATAATTTTAAGATGGTTTCAGGGGAGATATTTGAGTGAAGAGGAAAGATCTTAATATCATTCCAGGTAACAGTATACGTCTTTGAAACGACACCCAAAATTGACAAAAGATAGTTTCACCAATACTTTTTATATGCTACAACATTAAAATCAATTGGACTCAAGAAGGCAGCTTTATGAATATGTCCACCTCTTAGAAAGGTGAAAGGAGAGCACAATGGCTGACAAACCCACTTAAAAATACATATTTTTTGGCTCAGCAACACTATGTAGTGAAGATATTTGGTTATTGTCTTTTCCCCCCTTCTAAAACATAATGCATGAGGGCAGAGATGTGTCCATTTCATTTCTTATTCCATGCCTGCCCTAGAATAAACACAGAACATATACTTGCTGAAGAGTGATTGACTCTCGGTGTGAATTCTAAGTAAATGGCCAGAACATATCAATAGGAATGGAGAAGACAGGCAGGCTGTGAACACCACAAATACCAAACAAGGAACACTTTACTTTGTGGTAGAACAATTTAAACACTTGCACTTTAAAAAGGACTACATGTTTTAAAATGTTATTAATAGGTAGGTTCTGAATTAACTCAAGCTTCGCTTTGCCTTTCTCTCGGGTGATAGCATCTACTCTAGAAATCCTCCTCAGTTAGTAATAAGGCCTTATCCTAGAGATTTATGCTAGGAGGGAAAGTGATGGGGCACAGGCCTTCCTGATCTTGTTGCTGCAAGTACAGTTCTTTGAAATATTACCCAGCATTCCCCTTACTTGGAACTTGGAGCTTTATGGATTCTCCCTAGGGAAGGTGTGTTTGTGCCTCTGTTTTAGAGAAACTGTAATATACTCTGATTTAGCTTTTTTCTTTCTCTTTTTTTTTTTGTGATATTAATCTGATTTCATCTATTCATATTTTCTAGTTTTACCATAAAATGTTCTGGATGGCCAAATATTGTTTTATATTTGAGTACTCATATTATCATGGTCTTTAAGCAATTTGTTTCTCTTATCTCTGTAGGAATTGCCCTGGATTGAATTGTGCTGCCCCCAAATATGTGCTCATGATTCTCAATGGTTTAGCAGTTATGTAATAATGTGGCCAGTTCTCATGATGTAGCCTGATGTGATCAGCCAATCAGTTATATGGGGATTAAGGTGGGATGCCACACTCTTACTCAGGTCCAGCTCTGATCTGATGTAAGGGGAGTTTCCCCAGGTATAACCAACATAATCTTTTATTTTATAAGAGACAAAAGGAGAGAGAAGTGAGAAGAGATAAGGGTGTCTCAGCACCACCAAGAGAGAAGACCCAACGTCCCTGTGCTGAGAATCTTCTAGACCCAGGAGAGGATTGGTGCCAGGACACAGGGAGGTATCAAGGGATACTGGACTCTCAGACACTGAAAGTGAACAACAATCTTCCCTAAAGCTGACAGCGAAAACCTGCCCCTAGAGCTGGTTTCCTGGATTCAGACTGTGAGAGGATAAGTTTATGTTTATAAAAATAGCCTCCAAAACTGTGAGAGAATAAGTTTATGTTTGTAAAAATCACTCATTTATGCTATAGCTCTTCTAGCAATGCTAGTTAAGGCAGAATATTTCAGGTCCTTGTATGTACTGGGCAACCCTTTAAAATGTGATTCCAAAAATATTACTTAATGTAATTTTTTTCAGCCCTTAACAAGTCCTCTTTCTATAACTTAAAACAAACTCCACAGGTTAATTATTAGCCAAAGAATAAACTAAATAGGTTTTATAATATACTGTTCTTATGATAACAATATTACACTGAAGTATATTTTTTATCACTAGTACTAGCTAGACTAAACTGTTTTACTTTCTTTGCTTTGGGTGTCATACTATCTATTTTAATCAAAAGTTGCCAACACCAAATATCTTCTTTCTCTCAAAATTCTCATAATTCTCAAACATGTACTGTCTTAAAATATGCTTATGTTGGCCCTGAGAAAATAGAAGCTCTTTAAATATATTCAAATTCCCAGAAATACTAACTTACTGTTTTAATTCAGCATAATTTTGTATGTATTTGGAATATTCTTATACTTGTGGGAAAATCTCAAATGTCAAATATATTAAATAAGAATAATAAGACTCCTAAACTATTAATCAACTTGGACAGGAAAAACAAAACAAACCATTAAAGAAACCAAAAGAATTAAAACAATTTTTTACTATATACATATATATTTAAATAAGAAGTTTATTCAAACAAGATACTTGATATGAAGGAATTCATTTCTTTTAGAGTAATTTATCCCTAATTAAAGACCTATTGTCCTAACAGCTCTGCACAAAACATTAGAAAATTATCCTTCTTCTTATATTGATAAATAAAACACATCAAAATCTTCCAATTTAACAAGGTATGCATGGACTTTTGTTATTTTTTGGTAATCAGTGAGAGCAAAATAATGTATTAGAATATAAAGGTAAGAGTTGAATGAGGATGCCAATAATGGAGAAAGGAGAATCTTTCCTAGAACCAGTATTTTCTCCCATTTCATATCACTTGATGTTGATCAAAACATACCTTTGGCCATTTAGTGAAAAAAGAAAAAGAATGAACAATAGAGTTGAATACATGACACAAGTACCCATTACTTTGTATACAATAAAGAAATGGGAAATGGAAGAATAGAGAAAATTATACTGTGTATACCTAGTAAAATTAGACTGTAGAACTCAGGATGTGTTAAGATCAATCTGTGGTCTGTCAGTTTGTCATACTGTGATAGTTCGTGCTTTGCTGTGCTGCTGGAAGTTATATCAGAGTTATTGCAAATATAAGAGGGGCACCCACAGTGAACAGATTTCAATGGAGCTTCCAGACTAAGCACAGACTAGGAAGAAAGAGTAGGCAATCCAATTTTGAAGGCTTAACCGCTGAAAACTTTATGAATGGTATGGGCATATTATTTACTGTATTGCCAGAAGCTAAGCCCATTTGGAGGGAACTCAAATTATGACTGGGGAAGGGTTGCCTCCTTGAAGTAGAGTCAACCATAATGTCATGGGTGGAACAACGTTCTCAGAGCCTTCATTTCCTGATGTTGCATGACACAAAAGGAGAAGACACAGCTGAAAATATCCATAAATAATTAGAACATGGAATATACAAAGTATGGCTCAAGGAAAATTGGAATTCATCAAAATGAAATGGTAAGGATAAAGATTGATATGCCAGGCCGTTGAGAGCTAAAACCAATTGGTATTAGCCATTTTGAGTTCAACAATCATTTGGCTTACCATATGGGTCATAACATCTTCAATATGGATGATGTAGGTGCCTCCTAAAAAAAAGAACATTTCAAGATCTTTATTGAAATACAATGCTGTCCGTGATATAATACCCATACATATAAAAAGATGTCCAGTTAGTACAATTATTATTGACATTTGTGCACCAAGCACCAAAGCTAGTGATGAAGAAATGGAAGAATTAAACCCACTTCTAAAGTTTGAAATTGATCAAACACATAATCAAAATGCATTGATAATTATTAGATTGGAATGCAAAAATTTGAAACAAAGAGAATGTATCGGTATTTGAAAAACATAGCTTTGGTGATAGAAACTGAGATCACTTGATAGAATTTTGCAAAACAAATGACTTACTCATTGCAAATACTTTCCAACAACATAAGCAGCAACGATACACATGGACTTCACCAGATGGAATACACAAGAATCAAAAGGACTATACATGTGCATAGAGAACATATCATCATCTGACTAAGGCCAAGTGTTGACTGTGGAATAGAACACCAATTGCTCATATATAAGTTCAGGTTAAAGTTGAAGAAATGTAAAACAAGCCAATATGGGAAAAAATGACCTTGAGCCTATCCCTCCTGAATTTAGAGGACATATATGAGGACATTTGACACATAGAACATCAATGACAGAAGACCTGATGAGTAGAGGGATGACATCAAAAACACCATACATAAAAAAAGCAAAAGGGGTGGGTCCCAGCAGCAGCCCGGGCTGCCGGCAGAGCGGCAGAGGCCGGCAACCTAGCTTCGATAAAGCTCTTGGTGCCCGAGATTCCGCAAGCATTTGACAAGCCCCCTCCCCACAAGCAAGATGCCCCCAAAGAAATCCAGCTCTGCAGAAGGGGTGGTGAAGGGGAAGCTCAAGAGGAGACCTGCAAGGTTGTCAGCAACACCTGTGCCTGCCAAAGTGCAGATGAAGCAGGAACTATCTTCCAACCCCAAAGTGCGAGCCAAAGAGAAAGCAGGAGCAGGGGGAGAGTGGGCTGAAGCAGCTCGCCAAGAAACATTTACCTGCCAAAAAGGGAGCCCCCACAACGAGGAGAGGCCAGCCTCTGCTCAAGTAGGAGAAAAAGAAGCCAAGTCGGATTAAAGTTTATCTACCTGTCTTATCAGTGGGCCCTGTTAGCTCCCTTCTTATACAAGCCAGAGGAATACTTTCATCAACACGCCTTTGTAAATGCAAGTTTTTTAGTAGCTCTGGAGACATTATTAAGGTAAAAAGCCCACTTCATTCTATTCTTTGTAAGTGTAAATGCTTTTTTTAAAGATGTGAAATCATTTACTTTTTTTTTTATATAACCAGAAAATAGTGGGATGTTGAATGATGGGAAGATTTCACTGTCTTGGGTGTGAACATAACATTCCTTGGATGGCGGTTTTTGTATCCCTAAGACAAAACATACTTAATGGGTATTTGGAGTCACTGCCATGCATTTGTATGACTTGAACATTTAAAGTTTTATTTCCATGTTTTTGTTTATTTTTAAATAGATGCGTCTGAAAACGAGTCTGTCTCCATGGCCTTGTGAGCACTGTGTGCATTCTGTAGCACCTTTGGGCATGGTCGTTCAACCTTCCTAATAACTTTGTGATGTGTTGTGAAGAGTGGAGCATTTAGTGTGCGGTGTGACATTAAATTGTGGATTAGTTAGACTGCAGATGTCGCAGATTTTCAACATTTGAAGCTGATGGTACTTGACAGCTTCTTTAAAAAAATGCCTCCAAATTTAGAACTGGAAATTAGGAACAAATTGTTTCTGTGTGCCATTTTAGGAGTTTGATATGCACATCAAGAATTGTGTACAAATTGTTCATCATGTCTCTGTACAGATCTTAAAACAACCAATAAAGTGCCAGTAGAAAAAGGAAAGCCAGCGAGCAAGTAAAAGGTCATTAAGAAGGAAAGAAAGGAAAAGAAGACCAAAAGGGAGGTCTGGAGAGACTTTGAAAATTGTTCTTGATTGTAGAGGGCCAAAGCAGATGAAGGAAATGACGATGTGAAAGAGTTGAATCGAAAATTTCAAAGGACCACTCAAGAAAATAAAGTTGAAATGTGAAATATGCAAAGACCTGGGGGCAAAAAGACAAATGGCCTCAGAACACAGTCCGCACATGTCACGCTGAAAGAACGGAAGAAGAAAAAATTCAAGATGCAATAATTGAAGAATTCTGTGCACAAGATATTGAATGGTACAGGCAGCATCAACAACAACAAAAAAAAGATGGAAAGTATGCCCAGTCACTGTACCAAAGAGAACTGGTCGGTGTTCAAACCCTTTTAGGGGCAGCAAGAACCCATGGTACTGAATGAAGAAGTCCCACCTGCACTGAGGTAGTAGCAAAAAAGAACACGACTCCAGGAACCGGCAGACTAATTGAAATGTTTCAACCAGCAGATGAAACACTGGAAGTACTCACTACTCTATGACAAGAAATTTGGGAGGCAATGACCTGTCCAACTCAATGGAAAAGGTCTATATTCATGCCCATTCAAAAGAGATGGCAAATTACTAAACCATAGAATTGATATTACATACAAGTAAAATTTTGCTAAAGCTAATTCAACAATTGTTGCAGTAGTACATTGACAAGGAGCTGCCAGAAATTCAAGCTAGATTCAGAAGAGCATTCAGAAGGGATATAACGGCTTTCATCAAATGGATCATGACTGAAAGCAGAGAATACCAGAACGATTCTTTGTGTGCGTTTTATGGACTCTGCAAAGGTATTTGATTATGTGGATCATAACAAACTATGGATAAATTTGTGAAATGTGGGAATTCCAAAACACTTTGTTTTGCTCCCACAGAACCTGTACATGGATCAAGAATGTAGTCCTTCAAATTAAATTAAATTGTGAATTAATGGGACTTAAACCTTCAAATATGGTTTAAGAGCAGGGAAGTTGTGCCTCAGGGTTGGATCCTTTCATCGTAGTTTTATTCCATCTGTAGGCTAAGCAACTAATTTGAGTATGTAGGCAATCAGAAGAAGAGCAAGGCATTAGAATTAGAAAATGGTTTATTAAACCTTTGCTATCTAGATGAACACATGCCTGCCGACAGTGTGAAGGAGTAAAACTACTGACGAAGATGAAGTCCATGGCCTCCAGTATAGATTGAAACTCAATGGAAAGAAAACCAAAAGCCTTCACAACTGGACCAATAAACATCAGGAGAAATGGAAGTGAGATGGAAATTCTCAAATATTTTATTTTACATGGATCTATAATCAATGCTCATGGCAACAGCAGTCAAGAAATGAAAGGATGTTTTGCATTGGGCAGATCTGCTGAGAAGACCCTTTAAAACTTCGGAAGAGTAAAGATGTTCCTTTGAGGACCAAGGCACACCTAACCTAAGCCATGGCATTTTGTAGCACCTCATAGCAATGTGAAAGGAAAACCAGAGAAATTTTTATATACTTTTATTACGGTTTGAGCAGAGAATATTACAATGGACTTCCAGAAGAACAAACAAATCTGTCTCAAAAGAAGTCCAGAATGATCTTTAGAAGCAAGGATAGTGAAGATTCACCTCACATACTTTGGACAGGTTATAAGGACATCATACTGGCTGAAGTGGAGGGGCAGCACAAGAGAGGAAGATCCTCAATGAAATGGATGGACACAGTGGTCGCAAGGAGCTCAAATTAACAATTGGGAGAATGACATAGAACCAGGCATTGTTTCTGTTTTGCATATGGCTACTCTGTGTTGGAACTGACTCATTGGTACCTAAAAACAAAACAAAACCAAAAAAACAATATTATATGGCAAAGGGAAACGTAAGCAGAATGAACAACAATAAAAACCCACAGACTAGGAAAAGGTGTTTGTAGTATGTATTAGACAAAGTATTTAAAATTTGCAAAGCAACCTGGCAAATTAGTAAGAAGAAAAGCAACATAGTAGAAAAGAGGGCAAAAAAACATTTTTTTTAAATCCAAAAAGGAACAATTGAAATAACAAATATACGAAGACATATTTGTCATTTCCTGAAAATCAGATGAATGTAATTTACAACTCCTTGACCTCCAAATCAATTTCCAGCCATCAGATAAGTAAAATAAAAATATTTGATAATATTTGGTGAGACTGAGGGACAAATTTGTTGTTTTCATGTACTACTGGTGATAAAATAAAGGGATGTGGTTCCTTTAGAGAAAATTTTAGTTTAAAATGTGTAATTCGTACATATTTTAAGACAGCAAATAATCAGAGAAGCTGGATTATATAAAGAAGAATTCACCCTCAAGATTGGAGGAAGACTTGTTAACAATGTGCAATATACAGATGATACAACCTTGTTTACTGGAAGTGAGGAAGGCTTGAAGCATTTGCTGCTGAAGATCAAGGATTGCAACCAGTAGGGATTACAACTCAGTATAAAGAAGACCCAACCCTCACAACTGGACCAATAGATAACATCATGATAAATGAAGAAAAGATTGAAATTGTCAAGGATTTCATCTTGCTTGGATCCACAGTCAATGGTCATGGAAGCAACAGTCAAGAGATCAAAGGTTGCAATGCATTGGGTAAATCTGCTGCAGTAGACCTCTTTATAGTGTTGAAAAGGAAGGACATTACTTTAGGGACTGAGGTGTGCCTGACCCAAGTCATGGTATTTTCAATCCCTTTCTATGCATGTGAAAGTTGGACACTGAACAAGAAAAATTGATGCATTTGAACTATGGTGTTGGTGAAGAATATTGAAAGTACCATAGACTACCGAAAGAACAAACCGATCTGTTTTGAAAGAGGTATAGTCAGAATGCTCCTTGGAAACAAGAATGATGAGACTTCGTCTCACATACTTGAGACATGTTATCAGGAGCAACCAGTCCCTGGAGAAGCACGTCATGTTTAGTAAAGTTTCTTCCTCTCGGATCAGGCTAGCAGAACACCCGTTTCTACTCGCACTAGATAACTCCACCATTTTTTGGTTCATCTACAATAGGTATCAGCAAACCACCAGTGTATTTTGACACAAAATTGTTTTCATATGGCTCTTGAGCTTAGAAGAATGCTTTACATGTTAAAGGCATTATAAAGAAGGAAGGATCCCTGGACTGGCTCCAAAGGAGAAAACCTAGTGACTTGCTGTGATAAAGCTTCCAACCACGTCCACTACCATCTCAATTTCAACCAGAACTAGTAGGACGATCACCTAGGGTTCCTGAGCCTATCAATATTTATAGGAACAGAGAATTTCATCTTTTCCCCTTAGAGTGGCGGTTGGTTCGAAGCTAACCAATGTATAAGAAAATACACCATCAGGGCTCCTGGTAAAAATGAGAGTCTAGAAACGTCTATGGGGGTAGTTCTACTCGGTCACACGGGCTCATTGATATCCGAAAAGGACTCCACAGCCCCACCCAATAACCGCGAAGCAAAAGGGGAGGGTAGTCATCGTCTCATCTCGGACACAGAAATACCAATCCGATGGTGCTTAATACCAACAGCAAACAAGGAAAAGAGAGTAACAGACAATTGTGTGACTCTCAAAGTTTAAAATATTTACTATCTGGCCCTTCCGGAAAAAGTTGTTCACCTGTGAGTTACACCCATACTTTTTTACATAGACACTTTGTTTTACACCTGTTTCTAATTACTTTGATTCGCCTGTTCCAGATTCCTTGTTTGGTCCCTGACTGATAACAGAGAAAATTTGGAAGTTTTAATCTCAAGAATTTTGGGAAATGGTTTCCTAGAGTAATTTGTATAAATGTCCCAGAAAATTATGTAGCTAGACATTCATTTTACCAGTTTCTCTAATAGGAAAGGGAGAGAAGGGAGCGAGAAAGGGTGGAGGAGGAAGAAGGAAACTTCCATCAGAAGTGACTGGGGAATTCACCGGGGCTTCTTTCCTATGTAGTCCCCACAATGAATCTATCCATAGTTGAGAGATGGGAGGAAAGCGATCACTAAGCACAGAGCATTGGAGAGAGGAGTATAGAAGATCAAAGGCATACATCTGAGTTGGACACTTAAAACCTGGTTAGTTGATCCCGCTCTAAAGCATGCTAGATTGGATCTGGTTTTCAACATTTTCTGTACTTTTGTTTTGTTTCTGTTTGCTCATATTA